TCAGAGGGAGAAGCAGACTCCCCGCCGAGCAGGGGGAGCCCGATGTGGGGCTCGATCCCAGGACCCTGGGATCATGACCTGAGCCGAAGGCAGACGCTTAACCGACTGAGCCACCCAGGCACCCTCACAATCCACTTTTAAAAAGGTTCTCCAGGAAGTTGATGATACCAATCTACAAAATGGGGCAACTCTCTCACGCTATACCCGCTGGTGTCTGGTTTCAGTAATTCTGTGGTTTTGCACCCCACCCCCACATTGACAGCCTTCTCGGTGACTCTCTGTGGCCATCTCTGAGGCTAGCAGCCGAAGCTTAGGCTGACCAAAACCTGAGCTCCGTCTAGCACCAAAGCCCAAACTAGAACTCTTTTTAAATCTTATTTTAGCCATTACAGATAATCACCAAGGGATGGTGTGTTTCCCATTTTTCTTACTAGTTTCCATTTCCTTAGGCAACCAGGGAACTAGCTCCTTGGGAGTTGGGTCCAATTCTAAATTCCACTGGTCAGTTTACCTTGGGTAACTGAGTGCGGACCTCTCTGCTGTTCGCAGCGGGAGTGAGCGCGTGGCCACCCAGGAAGGTAAGGGCTCCTCATCCCCTACCCTTCCTCCTTTCTCTTCCCAAACCACATGTTTCTGTGAGCGAAGGCTAGTGTAGCTCACTTCTGACACTAACGATTAGCTGTTTTTACTACCGGCACTCTGACACCCAAAGTTGTGTGTGTGTGCGTGTGTGTTTCCCCACACAACCGATTCTCCACCTGCCCAGATAGCGGCCTGTGGGGCGAGAAATTGCTTGGCCAGTGCGGCTTCGCACCCAGGATGTCGTTCTCTTTAGTCAAGTCTCACACTAAGTACCCAGAATGAGCTTAATCCCCGAAGGCCGCCCCCACTTTAGATGCCAGGCACAAGTCCCGGGTCTCCGGTACTTCTGACCGACTGATTATAAATTGAGGGTTCCCGTGACCCCCTCTGCAGGTCCACTAATTTACTAAAATGGTTCATGGTACTCAGGAACACAGTTTCCTATTACCAACTGAGGGACGGGCACATGGAAGAGATGCACAGGGCAAGGGGTGGGCAGTGGGGTGGGGTGGAGCCCCCACGCCCTCCCCAGCTGCACCACCCTCAGAACCTACCTCAGGGTGCTCACCAACACGGATGCTCTCTGAACCCCATTGGTTAGGGGTTTTTATGGTGGCTCTATTACGTAAGCGTGATTGATGAAATCCTGGCGGTTAACTCAGTCTCCAGCCCCCTCGCCACTCCTTGGCGGTTGAAAAGTGGGGTGAAAATTCCAGCACTCTACTCACACTATTACTAGCAGGCAGCCTCCATCATGAAGTTCAGTAGGGGTCCACCTAGGGTCACCTCATTAGCATAAACACAGGTATGGTTGGAAGGGCTTATGATGAATAACCCAAGACCCCTTTCACTAAGGAGATTCCAAGGATTTCAGAAGCTCTTGTGCCAGGAACCTGGACAAGACCAAATATATACACATGTCTTCTTATGTCATAGATTCCCAAGAAGTAATAATAAAATAAGAAAAACGTTGATAATTGTTGAAGCTGAGAGACCGGTACATAGAGATTCATGATGCAGTCTCTGGGCTTTTCTGTGTATTTGGAAACTTCGACGCCCAAAATATTTATAATAAAAGAGAATGACAGAAAGGGAGAGAAGAACCTATAAGACATATAGCGTGTTTATCAAAAGGAAGAAATTAACATCGACACCATACCGTTAGCTAAACCCTACAGATTTTATTTAGATTCCTCCTCCAGTTTTTCCGCTAATGTCCTTTTTCTGCCCCAGGATCCAATCCAGGAGACCACATCATAGTTAGATGTCACGTCTCCGTACTCCCTTCCAGTCTGTCAGTTTCTTGGGTCTTTTTTGCCTTCGATGACTTTGGAACACTTTGGAAGAAGAGCGGCCAGGCATCTTGTAGACTGTCCCACAGTGTGGATTTGTCTGCTGTTTTCTCAGGGTCAGACCAAGGTTATGGATTTTTGGGAGGAATAGGAAGGTGATGTGGCTTTCTCACTGCAACATGTCAGGGAGCACATGATGTCCCCGTGACTTACGCTCATTAACCTTCATCACTTGGTCAAGGTGGTGTCTGCCAAGTTTCTCCATTACTCTTCCCTTTCTGTACTTTAATGACTGAGTCACTAAACCCAGCCCACACTCAGGGGATTTTAAGAGTGGAGGAAAGTCACCGGAGGGATTTAAGCAGGTAAGTAATGTCCTAGAAAGAATTCTCTGCCGGACTCGTCGAGTGGGCAGTGAGAGCGGACATGAACTGGGTTTGAGTGACATTCGCAGTGGACTCAGCACAAGCTGGTTCTTCGTTGCATATGAGGAATGAGAGAAGGACAAGGATGGCCCACGGGTGGGTGGCTGGGGGCCTTTCGCGGCCCCTAAACCAAGGCCTGTGCGCCCCCAGGAGCTCGTGTGCGTCCCCTGCCCGCTAGTGAGAAGCCCCTCTCCGCTCCTGGGTCTTGCCTTGCCTTGGGGCGGGCCCCTGAGGGTTACTGGGGCCTACAGTGACTTACACACATACATCAGGAGTTTGGGATCACCAAGGAGGGTCGGAGTCGGAGCCGCAGGGAAGAGGGGACAGCCGTCGAGGGGCTGAAAGAAGCTGGAGGAAAATGAATCATCCCGAAATCCTTTTCCTCCCTCTACGTTTAATGACCCGGTTATGGGTGTGTAACCAGAGCGGCCGTGACTCGGTGGTTTCAAACAAGTACTTTTATTTACCTCTGCGAGCTCCGCCAACCGGCCTCCCCCGGGCCGTGAGCGTTTCGGTTCTCCCTCCCCGGGCGTGCGAGGGGGAGGGCTGGGCGGCCACACCTGAGCCCTCACCTGCGCCGGCGGGCCCCCCGCCCGGGTTTCTTCTCCCCTCGGCGC